ATCACATATTATAAATTATACTATAGTGTATTTATATAATATTATGTTTTAACTGTTGTTCTCTATGTACTTTTTATTTCATACATTTTACTGCTGTGTATTTTACTAACTTGTACATATAAATATTATAGAATTTTTAGATTTTTATACTAAGCTAATTCTTTTTATAATTTAAAATATATAGCCCATATAGGTTAATTAACATTATTATTATTATTATTATTGACCTAGTTACACTATTGTGAATAACTCGAAAAAAAGAATTTCATTTAACAATAATGGTGGTACAAAATAATATTATCAAACTGACCTATCTTTATTGTTAAAATGTTTATGTTGACTGTTGAGCTTTTTATTGTTACTTATATATTATAATATACAGTCATGTGACCACTTTGTATACTAATCCATTATAGTTTTTTAAAATGTCTGTAACACTCAATGTGATAGTTGATCATGTAAGTAAATGTTTAATTATTTAGGTACAGATTAAATGGTTTTTAGTTAATTTATGTTTACTTACTTATTATCAGCTAAAGATTGTATTCTGCTAATTTTTAAATAGTTAATTAGATTATAAATTTCCAAATATAACTTATACTTATTTAATTTTGCTTGACATATAGATGCCACCTTATTTGTTGTTAATGACAGAGAACGGTAACATTAATGATATCTCAGGATATGTAGGTGAAATTTGGAAAATCATTGAAAAACGTCTGGATTTCAGGTAATTTGAWATATAATGTTTTCATTCTCCAATTTTAATTTTTGTATCGTGATTAATATTTATAGTTTAAAAAAATGTTACATTATGTTTAATGTGATCAAGTGTAGTGTTAACCGAATTGTTATCCATTGTTGGTCAAGGCTAAGTTTTTAGTTTCTATTTCTGCGTTATTTTTGGTTACAATTTCATCAAGTCCTTTTTGTTCAGTGCTATTAACAATAACTTTTGGTGATATTTCTTCGGATTTTGAAGAACTGGTTTCCAATGGCTTGTCTCTAGTTTGTTCCGTGTTGAAACCTCTGGTATTAAGCGTGGCACTGGCTGCTTCTCTGATGACAATCACTTCAGGTGTGGCTATATTGTTTGGTGGCCAATTGACCTTAAATCATACTCAATTTATGATTAATACTAGACTATGTACATTGCATTTTAAAATGTACATAAAAACTGTTTAGACAGTTAAAAATACACGTTCCTTACTTCTTGTTGTGTAGGCACGGGGTCTGTGTGCGTTGCAGTTGAAGGGTCCTGAGGGATTG